AATCTCTACCAAAATCAGATATTAACCGAAGCAGAATTGCCTTTGAAGTTATGTGCTTATAGCCCCTGCTTTCGGGCGGAAAGAATGGCTTCCGGTCAGGAAAATAAAGGCTTAATTCGTCTACACCAATTTCATAAAGTCGAATTAGTGAAAATAATTGAACCCGACCATTCCTATACCGAATTGAAAAAAATGTTAGCCGACGCTCGCAATATTCTCTATCTGTTAAAAATTCCCCACCGAGTAATTGAACTTTGCTGCTCCGAATTAGGTTTTACAGCAGCCAAAACATACGACATTGAAGTCTGGCTGCCAATCAGCCAAAAATGGTTAGAAATCTCCTCATGTAGCAATTGTGAGGATTTTCAAAGTCGTCGAGCCAAAATCCGAGTCAAAAAAGAAAACCAAAAATATTATCCTCATACCCTTAATGGTTCGGCCCTGGCAGTTGATCGTTTAATTATTGCTCTGTGCGAGTATTACTATAATGAGGAAGAAAATAAATTAATTATTCCTGAAATTTTGCAGCAGTATTTTTAGGTTTCTGAAATATTACTTTTTTTAGATTCTAACAAGAAACTCCCATCTTCAAATTTTTGGTTAAGTGAGGATAAATTGATATAAAATATTTGATATAATATGAAAATAAATACACGAATATATGAAACTAATAATAAACTGTATAAAAACAAGGAAGAACAAAAAAAAGATTTTAGAGAAGGTTTTACAGATAAAAGAAGCATTAAAAATCTAATTCAGTGTCATCATTTTATTTACCAAGGAAAAAACATCGGTCACATAGAATTTAAAAGTAGAGACAAAGAGTTTTATCAACAACAAACAAAGACTTTTTCCGAGGACAAATGAATAAGTATTGAAATAGATGACAGTAAAACCAAAATAATTCCTCGTGAGGGTTCCGGCACCGCTGAGCCAAGATGAGTATTAAAATTTACAGAAAGGGCTAATTTTAAAGAATCAACTGATGAATTTCGATTTAAGGTAAAAGGTAAAGATAGGGTGGGACATATTGATTATAGAGATACCAGAATGATTATAGATATAGAAGAACCCGACAAAGTAAATTTAAATGATTATCCGGAGTTTCGGCTTGGTTTGTGAGGTAGCCGATTATATCTTGAATGTCCTAATAAACAAAGTTTTGCGGAATTTTTTAATTGCATTAAAGTAGGTGGGGAATATGTTGTTGATTTAAAAAACATAAAATATAACCATACGTGGAACGAAAATGTTGGAGACATTACATATCGAATTTACCAAGACCCGAATGGTAAAAAAGTCATAAAAAAAGTTGGTGAAGAATCGGTTCCAAAAAAATTTCCCGACCAGCAAGAAGCAAACAAATTAGCAGAGTTTTGTAAGCGAGTTAGGGAAAAGATTAATGAAGTCCTAAATCAAGACCCAGTTGTTTTTAGTAGTGAATTAAGTGATAATAACTGAGGCGACCTTTTAAGCAGCGCTAAAACTGAACAAGAAATTAATGAAGTTAAAGATAGAGTATTGGCTGATATTGAAATCAAACGCAATGCCAAAAAAGGCAAACGCAAAAGAGAAGACGAAAAAGGAGAGGATATTCATGATAATAATAAGAAGCCCAAATTAGATGACGAGGATAAAAAGAATTACGAAGGCTTTCTTAAAAATGGAATATTAAATGAAGTTGAAGATAATAAATTGAAAAGCGGACTTGAAGTCGCAATCCGATTGGAAGGCGAAAAGGAATACGATGATGAAAAAACTAGAAAAGAAATAGAAGAAGAGTTATGAAAAAGAAATCCTCAACTTTGCCGAAGCACAATCGTTACTTCTCTTAAAGAAAGATTAAAAGATAATAATATTAGCGATGATGAATTAAGTGCAGAAGTCAAAAAGTTAATTAATAATGAAATTACTGATGAAGAACAAGTTAAAACAATCAAAGAACAAGCCATCAAAGAAATTGGTCAAAAAGGCGCGGAAAGAAAATGAACTACTTTGTTTAATGAGGCTAAATCATTCTTGGAAGAGGCCAAAAAAAATATTACTGAGAAATTAAAAAAAGATTTAAAAATAATCCAAGAACAAATTAAAAGTTTAAGTTCAGAAAATAACTCTTATTTGGCTAGTTTTTATAGTAGCAATAAAGGTCAGGTAGAAACACTGGAAAAGAGTATTAGCGCGGTTTTAAACCAAAACCAAACTGGCTCTGAACCAAAAGTCCCGTGAGGAGTAATTATTCCGGTTTCATTGGCAGTAGCAGCAATAGCGACAGTAATAGTGATAGTAAGAAAGAGGAGACGGGGAAAAATAATATAATATTTTGCCGTAGGGCTGAAAATAAACCTGATATTTTAATAGACAGGAGAATAAGAAAAAAGAATATCATATTGATATATGACCACAAGTAAAAATAGTAATAATTATAAATTAATAATTGGACGCCACTGTCCTTTTAAAGCACCTTATTATTTACCAGGGGCGGTTCAGGAGGCAGTAAGTTATGGCTCTAATGCCTTGATGATTTATTTGGGGGCACCCCAAAATACTCGCCGCCGACCCTTGACTGAATTAAAAATACCGGAATTTCGTCAAATTCTAGCAGAAAATAATATCAATATTGACAATGTTATAGTCCACGGTCCTTATGTAACAAATCTGGCTAATCCCGACCGAACAGAAATTTTTCACTGGTCAGTGGAATTTCTGAAAAAAGAAGTTACTCGCATGGAAGCAATTGGCTTAAAAACTCTTATTCTTCATCCCGGCAGTGCAGTTGATGCACCCATTAATGATTCTCTATCCCAGGTGGCTCATGGAATTAATTTAATTCTCCAAAAAAGCATCCAAGCCCGCATCGTTTTAGAAACCATGTGCGGTCGGGGCAGCGAAGTAGGAATAAATTTCGAACAATTGAAATACATTATTGACCGGGTTGAACAAAAAGAACGAGTGGGTGTTTGTTGAGATACTTGTCATTTGTGGACGGCCGGTTATGACATTAAGAATAACCTGGAAGCGGTTATTGAGGAATTTGACCAGAAAATCGGTTTAGAAAAATTATGAGTCATCCACATTAATGATAGTGCGGCAGAATTAGGAGCCAAAATTGACCGCCACGAAAATATTGGCTATGGAAAGATTGGTTTAGAAACTTTAAAAAGAATAGTTTGATACCCTAAATTCAATGGGATACCTAAAATATTAGAAACGCCCCGTCATCGCGAAGACTTTAAGGAAGAAATTAGAATTTTGAAAGAGAAAAATTAATTATTTATAATGGTTGTTCAAAAAAAAAAAAAAAAAAAAAAAACAGTTTTGCTAATTAGCGTAATTGTCGGAGTAATTGGTCTAGTAGCAGGCGTTTTTTTAATTAAAAATATTTTCTTGTCCGCAGAGAATAAGGATAGACAACCAACTAAAACTCCTCCCATTTCCCCTCTCGTTTATCCCGAGGAGCAAGATGATTGTCCTTATAATGAGACCAGCCTGACTGAAATTTCTCCAGATTATAGTGGCATGAGAGTTAATAATGAGGAATTAGAAAAATGACGCCAGATCCCTCGTGATTACATAGTTAAATGTTGAAAAAAAGGCTATCATTGGCATGACATCATTCAATTATGAGAGTGAAAGTTGACTGACCGGGACATTCCTGATTTAAAGGCTGAAAAGAGAATCGGCGTAATGAATTGCTTGGCAGTTACTTTAAATTGATGAGAGGAAGATAAGACAGAAGAAGATCTTAGGGTAGGTTTGACCCATAATGTCGTGGTTATGGCTCGAAAAACCGCTGACGGAAGGCCGAAAGTAGAGGTTGATGAAAATCAAAAACATGATTTGCCTATGCAACCCGACAGCGCCAAAGAAAACTTAAAATATACTAAAATGATAGTTGATTTGGCTGGCGAACAAAATATTAATCTCGCCCAATACGAAATATTTATTCTGAATAGTCTGGGAGCGGACCGGTTTAGAAAAGAAAGAGAAATTGCCTGGGGAAAAATTGGTGGAAAATCGGCAGGCAGCGCTCTTTATTTAGCGGTATTAAGTGCCTTGACTAAAAAACCTATTTCCGCCCAAGTAGTCGCCACCGGGGCCATCGCTGAAGAAGCCATCAAAGGAAAAATTAACGGCCAGGAAATTATTTTGGAGAAAGGAACTAATTTGCCAATTAAAAGTTTAAGGGAGAAAATAAAGGCTAGCAATGAAAAAGGAATTAATCACTTGGTGCTTTCATTTTATCAGTCTTCGCCTAATCTTTTAC